AGCATGGCTGGCTGGGGAATTCTGGGAGTTGAAGTCCACTCATCTTAAAGTGGCCAAGTTTGGACAACACTGCTTTAGAGCATCAAAATGCCCATCTCAGCTCCAGGAATAGAGATGCAGCTAACCAGATCTTCAAAACAGGAAGCTTTAAAGCAGCTAGAGGAGAGGAGTCTTTCCCACATCCTTCTCACTGGTGCCACTGGAAGAGATTATTTTCTTGGTTATGTCTTGCTTTGATTAGAAGGAAGAGGTCAACTGGCAACAGCTGGGCTCTCCTGGGACAGACCTCCACAGCCTCCCCTTGATGCTACTCCTAACTCCATCCAGCTAGTCCTAACTACCTCCCCTTTGGCGTACGCAGCCTTAGTGCCAAATGTGCACCAAAACAATATGGCTTCTGCTGCTTCAATAACCAAGAACAGTTTGTGACATGGAGGCCAGTGAGATACAAACATATCCAGAGAGAACAAAGATATTGATCAACAGCAAGCTCCAGTCCTTCAAGAGCCCAACTGGTGCACTCAGTGCCCCAAAGGGAATATCAACAGGCTTGAGGGAACTCAATGTTTTCTAGAAACAGAGCAAAAATCTTCAGAAAAATAAACCCTAAGGAGTACCATCTCCTTTGGTGTACTGGCTAAAGTGTTGGACTGGCACTGGAGAGACAGAGGTTCTAATCCACTCTCAATCATGAAAGCTCACTGGGTGACTTTGAGCCAGTCTCCCTCACTGTGCCTAGCCCATTCATGGTGTTGTTGCTGTGGAGCAAAAGAGGAGGAGGGAGAGCTAGGTCCACTGCCTTGAGCTCCTAAGCGAAATCCAGAATAAAAATCTAATTTTAAAAATAAATAACATCGGTGGGCATAAAACAGTGATGGCTGATCAGGGGGAAGAAACGGAGTGAAATGGAACCAGGGCGCTCTGTTTTACCATATGTTCTTGTGGGTCTTCTGTCAGTTTCTACAATTCCAGGATGTACCATACAGCCACCTTGTTGAAGATAAGCCAGTATGAGTTGGTTAGACGCTCAACAGAAGATCTCCAAGAATCCCTGGACTCAGTTTGTACTGATCAAAAAACTTTATATACTGAAGTTCTGTGAAAGCTACCAGGAAAATGACAAAAATGTAGTCCACAGACTCTCCCCACCCACACCCCCTAGGTCATAAAGATGGGATTTCCAACAGTTTAAGTATTATGAGTGAGCTACCAGGATGTGGGTGCCTGCCTGGTCACCTCTCAGTAATGTCGAGGAGGGGGTATCCATCCATCCCAGCCTCTTCATCCCTTTGGAATTCCTCGCAGGGAGGGCTGAAGGCCCCAGAAACAGACCTCCTGTTGTTTCCCAGATCACTCAACCACAGTTCCACCTTGAGCTGGCTTCTACATGGACACTGCAGGCATCTTGGCTGCCTGCCTGGGCCTAGGATTGTGATGACTTCATTCTGTCTGGCATCTGAGGCCTGGACAACTTGAAGGAAATGGGACATGGGAAATACTTGGGCATCCAGCCACTCTCCGCGGGATGAAAATAATGCTAACTGAACGGGTGGCAGATTGGAAGGGGAACGGGTTTCTCTTCTCCCTCAGTCATGTTGCACAGCCAAGACACACTAACAAGAACAATAGGCTAGTGACAACCAGCTTTTCTTGGCGGTTTCTCATGGCAATAACAAGTTGGCTCTGGGTTCTGCCAAGCAGTGGCACAGGGATTCTGCCTTCCGTACAATTTATCTAGGATTTTCTCCTATTCACTTCCTTGGTTCAATTATCTGGAGGTCTACACTCTGCCCGCAGCCCTGGTATTTTTGGCACAGGACAAGATTGGTTCTGCATTTTCTACTAGCACTCTGGAAGGAGGTAGGGGCTGGACGGGGACCAGCTTTTAAGCAGGTTAGGGACCTGGCAGCCCTCCAGAGCAGCCTTCTCCAAACTGGGCATGTAGGTGGGCACGAAACATGCCTTGCAACACAAACTCTGTCCATTAGATCCTTTTGTGTGACATATGGACACCACTACAAAAGAATGCAGCTTGCCTTATGATGTCACAATACACATTTCACTATTCTGACATCCTTGCGGTCAAACACTTAAGCCTTCAGAGGTGTGTTTTCTGCTTTCAGAATTCTCAGGAACTGACCTTCACACCCAGGCTGGAGAATGCCACTATTGGGTCAGTCACCTCCGGTACCCTTCTTAGAGGCATTTCCTGACAAAGATTGTGCAATCACAGAATGGAGGATATTGCTTTTTATAACTCAAGTATGGAGCACTTGATTTAATGGTTCCTTGTGTTGTCAATCAAAATGCATGCAACAGCTACTTTCTCCTTAAACCTTTTTTTTTTTTCTGATAAGATGGAAAAAACAGCGAAAAAACATTTTCCTATCCTACACCCAACTTCCTCTTGGTGGGGAAGGTGGTAGGGCAACAGCTACTGAGGGTCATGTAAGACATGGATTATCTAGACACTATTCAGACCTAGGCACAGGACTGAAACTATATTGCTCATCCTCATCAATGACTTGTGACAAAGCTTAGATGGTAGGCACATGATCATCCTTGTCTTGCTAGACCTCTCAGTGGCTTTTGGTCCTGATCACAGAATCCTCCTGGACCGCCTAGGAGGGTTGGGGGTTGAAGTTGCCATTTTACAATGGTTCCACTCCTTCCTGAGTGAAAGGTTCAAGTTGGCTGTCATGAGGGGAAGAGATCAGACCCTTAAGTGCTCCTCAGGGTTCAGTCCTCTCCCCTCTCCTATTTAACACCTACATGAAACCCACTGGGAGAGATCAGCCATCAATTTGGAATGAGGTATCACCAGTCTGCTTACAAATGATACCCAGTTATAAATCTCCATCCTGGGCCAAATGAAGGATGTGGTGAACACCCTGACCCAGGATTTGGAAGCTGTCAGGGTCTAAATGGGGAGACTTTGATTCATCCCAAGCAAGACAGAGTGGATATTTATCCAGAAACTCTCTAAATCTGGGATTATACCATCCTGGACCCTCAGCAGGATGGTGCTCACCCACGGAGAAGAGGCCTGCAATCCAAAGTTCCTCCTGGCTTTGCCACTGCCGCTGGAACAGCTGGCAGAAGCTGCGGGCAGAAGAGCCTTTGCTCAGCTTAGGCTAATGCACCAATTATGACCTTATCTGGAACAGGGGGCACTCGTGATCTCCCATATAGGTTACTGTAATTTGCCTTACACGGGGCTGCCCTTGAAGACCATCTCAAAACTAATGGGTGCAAAGTACAGTGATCCATATGCATACCGAACACTCTTGTTATATCATGCAACATCCTAGCTACAAGAGCTAGGCAGTTACCACGATGTTTCCGAGTTCAAGTCAAGGTCCTGGTTATCACCCATAAAGCCATACCTGGCTCAAGGTCTGGGTATCTTCAAGACCATCCTCTAGAGGTTCTGTCTAATTCAATCTGAGGGCATAGAGAATGCCTGTTGAAGATCCCCTGACATCAAGAGCTGCAATGGTCGGGAGTCCAAAAGCAAGCATTCTTTATGGGGACTCCCTGTCAACAAGGAAAAGGTAGTTCCTGGTCTTCTGGCCTTCCGGAGCTCCAAAAGCTTTGCTGTTCTGGAAGGCCTTTGGGACTTGGATGCTATAGAGCTTTCTGGTGCCAAAAATGTGTAATTTTCTAACTGTAAATTATGCACCACATTTTTTAAATAGCATATTATTGTATTTTATTGTTACTACTGTTGTATTGGCTATGGTTATTGCTTTTGTTTATAAACGGATAAATAAATCAAAATAGCAGGGAGAAGAAAATATATGATAGGAAATTTTATTTGCATAATCAATGCTGATTGCAGAATTCTGCTCTCTTTTTCAGCAGAATGGGTCTCGCAGACATTGTTAAACAAATGTTTTTAAAAAGCCAGACAATAGGCTTTTTAAAAACATTCGTTTAACAATCACCACTAAGCAGTGATTTTTCAACTTTCCTATCAAGGAATTCTGCAAGGTATAACTCAGAGGATTCACCATAACATTCATGGTGGGCACAACTTTCTGTTGGACCCTACACATATTGAGAACGCCACCTATAAAACACCAGGCAATGCTTCCTTGGCTCTGATGGGTGATCATCTTTCTTGGTACCCTGAGAACATAATCAACTTCCAGGGAAGGCCTGGGATTCTCAAAAAAGTTTGCAAACACCCAGTGCAAAATCTATACAACTCCATACCAATATCCCCAGATTTTTCAGGACAAAGCACTTACATAAGTTTCAAGGAGGCTGGAACTATTGGCTTTCAGAAGACAAACCAACTTTAAGGTCTGGTTGATGACAGTGTTAACAGAACCATCCTGTTCAGGAGAGACAATGTGGACCAGGCTTGCACAAATTAGATAGAGGCTTGTAACTAGAAAAAAAGAAAAAGAGAGAAAACCTTCTGAGGTTGCTTCAGGTTTGGTGGGGCCTTTGCAGGCTTCCTTTTCTTGGATTAGCCATTGCCACCCACATGTTTGCCCTCTTCAGCAAGAACCATCTTTATGACTGCCCAGAAGGAGATCATAAAGCCAAAGGAAAAAGATGCTCAGAGAAGGACAGTGATCCAGAGATGACAGAAAGGAGGAAGAGCCATCAAGCCAAGAGTCTCCAGAAGAGAGTGGTCTTTCTGAAGGAACGTGGGCCTTAGCCAAGCTCCAGTGACACTGATTTCAGAAACCCAAGTCTTGCTCAAAATTCAGTCTCCGGTCTCCTCTCCCCACCCAAATGCTTTGATGACCTTTGCAGCTCTCCTGCCCTCCTTCTCCATCTGTCTTGGGGTCTCCAAGAGACCCCTCATCAATGTGAAGACCTGAGACAGGACCAGATTGAAAGGGTTGCAAACCCATCTTCGCTTTTCCACTCCTACCAAGTTGCCCCACAAGCTCACTCATTAGGAAATGTGAGACCACAAGTCGGTGAGTGCTGTTAACATGGAGCAGCAGATTATCAATGGTCTTGCTTATTATTTTATGTTTATCACCATGAGGAAAGGAAGCATCACCTGAGAGGTTCACTTCCAAATGTCTCAGGCTGTCTCTGGCATTCACCCCTCAAGTACCAAAGATACAACTGAAAGCTGTTCTTCAGCTTCTTCTTCAACGAAAAAAAACACAATAGACCCCCCTCCCCTTCAAAGATCCACTCTATCCTGAACAGCAATGTCACAACATTCCTCAAAACTTTCCACCCCCTCCTCAAAGAATTCTCAACCCCCACAGACCCTTATTTGTCAGTTTCAAACAGACCATCCTGCAGACTTACCCAACCGGAGGCTCATGACTGACTAGCTCGTGGAAAAAGTTGGCCAAAGTTTTGAGTCCTCCTTTGGAACAACCAGCTCCTATCTATCACCCCCTAATGGTGGATGAAGGTAACTCTCCTTCCAAAAAACTTTCCGAGCGAAAGATGCTCAGGTTCTCCTTCTCTCGGTCCTCGTCCCCCCTCTTCTTCAAGCTGGGAGCTCCCTTTGCTAGAGATGGCAGCTGGTGGCTGGTACAGGAGTTCCCAAGAGACCGCTCTTTATAGACAGTCCCCAAGGTGTTATCCCCTCTGAAATTTCCCAACCCTTGATCCCTCCCCTCAGGAGCAAACACTCCCACTGCAAAAAAGGGGGAAAAATAACCTCATTCTTCCTTCTAGCTCCTAAAAGAGGAGTGGGGGGTGCCAGCAGAGATGCAAAGGCGTGTGAGAAAGGGTGGGGCAGTGAGTGAAAGTTGTTGAATTTCCTGGACAGGTGAGAAAGGAAAGGAAAGGAAAGGAAAGGAAAGGAAAGGAAAGGAAAGGAAAGGAAAGGAAAGGAAAGGAAAGGAAAGGAA